AATTTCTAGAAAAAAGTCGAAATAAAATGTTGAGAATAAACTCATTAAATTACGCTAAAAAAGTCGTTGTGTTTTGAAAAAAACTTGTTAAATTTCAAGAAAAAAATCTAAATAAAATGTTGAGAATCAACTCATTAAATTACGATAAAAAAGTCATTTTAAATTTCTAGAAAAAAGTCGAAATAAAATGTTGAGAATAAACTCATTAAATTACGCTAAAAAAGTCATTGTGTTTTGAAAAAACTTGTTAAATTTCAAGAAAAAAGTCTAAATAAAATGTTGAGAATAAACTCATTAAATTACGAGAATAAAATCAAAATAAAATGCTGAGATTCTTTGCTGAGATCAGTGTTAATCAACATCTGCAGTGGTGCAGGTCGTAGAGAGCAATGCTCGTGAATGAAGCGTATGCAGTTGGCCAGAGTTCAAATCTGCCTTTTGCCAAACTCGCTCTTCTTCCTTTTTTTCATCACATATCACATCGGAAAAGTGGAAATCAATTGCCTAACAAGTGTTTAATAATTATGTATTAATTGGGTAGGAAAAAAAGTGTTTCATGAAAAACTTGTTAAATTTCGAGAAAGTCAAAATAAAATGTTGAGAATAAACTCATTAAATTGCAAGAAAAAAAGTGTTTCATGAAAAACTTGTTAAATTTCGAAAAAGTCTAAATAAAATGTTGAGAATAAACTCATTAAATTACGATTAAAATGTCGTTGTGTTTCGAGAAAAAACTTGTTAAATTTCAAGAAAAAAGTCAAAAAATGTTGAGAATGAACTCATTAAATTACGATAAAAAAGTCGTTGTGTTTCGAGAAAAAACTTTTTAAATTTCAAGAAAAAATTCTAAATAAAATGTTGAGAATAAACTCATTAAATTACGATAAAAAAGTCATTGTGTTTTGAGAAAAAAAAGTCAAAATAAAATGTTGAGAATAAACTCATTAAATTACGAGAATAAAATCAAAATAAAATGCTGAGATTCTTTGCTGAGATCAGTGTTAATCAACATCTGCAGTGGTGCAGGTCGTAGAGAGCAATGCTCGTGAATGAAGCGTATGCAGTTGGCCAGAGTTCAAATCTGCCTTTTGCCAAACTCGCTCTTCTTCCTTTTTTTCATCACATATCACATCGGAAAAGTGGAAATCAATTGCCTAACGAGTGTTATAATAATGATGTATTAATTGGGTAAGTTAAGGGGTAGGTAGGCTATAGGGAGGGCTTTGTACTAATAAGGCAGCGTCTATTTAATAATTTTAATAAATAAAATCATTTACACTCTATGTTATTATTGCATCCTGTTAATGTACAACAATACTGAGGTGCAAATAGTATCTGTCACTATTTATTTATAAGTATAAATAGCATCTAATTACTATTTACACTTATTTCAAAGATCTACTACTTTTACATAGCGTAAATTGAATCGCTATTTTCACTTAGTGTAAATAGCACATCGCTAAAAATGCTGCTGCTGTCACTTAGTGTAAATAGAATATATCACCATGTTCACTCAGTGTAAAGAGCATCTGATGTGATATGTGATGAAAAAAGGAAGAAGAGCGAGTTCAGCAGAAGGCAGATTTGAACTGGTCGCCCGCATACGCTTCATCCACAAGCTTTGCTCTCTACAACCTGCGACACCGCAGATGCAGATTACCACTGTCCAAACGAGAGAAAATGAACATGAGACGAGTGTGTTTATTCTCAGCATTTTATTTCTACTTTATTCTCATAATTTAATGAGTTTATTCTCAACAATTTATTTCGACTTTTTGTCTTGAATTAACAACAACCTTTTTCTTGTAATTTCATGAATTTATTCTCAACATTTTATTTGGACTTTTTTCTCAAAATGTAACGAGTTTTTTCTTTAAACACAATGACTTTATTCTCGAAATTTAATCATTTAATTCTCAACATTTTATTTCGACATTTTTCTTGAAATTTAACGAGTTTAATCTCGCATTATAATGACTTTAATCTTGAGATGTTTTTTTTTTTTTATTATTGCTTGTACTTTTAGACTTCAGAGCCCAGTATATACACTAATGTTCAAAGATTTGGGGTTGGCTGCATTTTTTTTTAATACAGTAAAAACAGTAA